AATATATGTTTTTTCACCTTTCCGAAAGCTACCGCTAGATGGTAAGCCGGGTGTATCAATTTTGAGTAAATTAGCGTCCTTCAATTTCGAAATATTGCAGTTTCAAGCATTTCTGAGATTTACCGTTATTAGAAAGGCGGCCGTAATTTTAGTCCGATTTCAATAATTTTCAACGTTTTGCTTTTATGTGGCAAGCACAATAAAAATACCGAGTTTGGTACAAATATCGTGTACACAGACGGACGGACAGACAGTCACCGCATAATCGATTTCTCTTTTCATCCTGATCATTTATGTATACATTTGTCTATATATATCTCGATTCGTTTTGGCTGTTACAAACAACCGTTATACGAACAATGTTATAATACCCGTGTGCACAAGTGCGCTCGGATATGAAAATAACGGTTTTTTTAGCTTCCATAAAAATTACAAAAAGAATTGTTTGTCAAATCTTGTTCTCGGTAAAAACAGAAATGGTATATTTAACTTTTTGTACAACATTTCATTCATGATGAATTTTACAATGACAGTTTTCATCAATTAATGTTATTAATGGTTCCTTGTCAAATCACATCTACATATATATATATATATATATATATTATTTTGCATGAAGGGACAATCAGTCCTTAAGTGATTCCCTTGAGTTCGACAAACCAGAAAAATATTTCACACAACTCAGTAAATGTGTTAAAAGCTTTGAGGGTTTCGAAGCTTTTTATACAGTAACAAAAACGCTTAGTGTCGGTTGTAGGTAAGGTCGGTCGAGTACAACATGAAAAAAGTTTTCTTATAGTTTCTGAACAACCATTTGTTTTTTATTAAAAGCTCGTGATGTACTGAATTTTACTGAAATAAGATCATTCACCTAAGATGCCAAAATGTCGCTTTCATAAAAGTTGGACAGCCAATTTTAACCTCATTCTGAATTCTCATATTCACTAGCAGATAATAGGTGCGTTCGTTTAAAATCTCCAGTAAAAACCAACCAACTGCCAAATTCCGGCGGAATGTCATCTGTTCTCTCACAAGAGAGAAATATCCAAAACAGTTCGCGAACAGAAAATTTGCAGAAACTTGCAAGTTAGACGAACTGCTGATATAATTTTTGTTTATATTCAAAAGTGTAAAATTTAAAACGTACGAAAAGTCATCACAAAGTGTTATAATGACACAGTTTATTGATTAAACAAATAACTACTTATTTCTTACAAGTTTAATTAGTCGCATTTTGTTATTTTTAACTTCCAAACCATCAAATTCAATTTTGTGATTTGCGTAAATGGCAAGCAGCTGTTTTCCTGTTTGCAAATTGCTGTTGGCAAAAATTTTTCCAGCAGAAACCAGCAGCTCCCCTCAAAATGAAATGTCACTTTGCTCTCTCCATTTCCCCTACTTTGCAAGTTTTTTGCGTACGCGAACGCAAAAACTTGTAAGTTTTGGTTAAACATGAACACTTAACAGCTACGCGAACGCAACTAATAAGGGTTCTATCGAGAAAAAGTCGATTTTCAATAGTTGACCTACGGCCAACTTGGGGCAAGCGATTTCTTTGCTGCCTAGTAAGTGGAAACATCATTTACACAGGCTTTTGGTGATGCGATGTCGAATCGACTCATGTAAATGCAGTTTAAGTCCTTTATAGTTTTATTTTATTCTATTTTGATCTGCCGCAAAAAAACTGCCACCAAAGCATACACAAGTACTTTTAACGCAACTGAAAAAAAAAATCAAAATTTAAGCATGCTACGCTGGCTTACGCATTTGGACAATGCGGAGTTTTGTAAACTTTGTCAAAGATCGAACTGAGAGTCTAGTTTATCTACAATTGAATACTACTTCATGCCTTGATATATAATTTTTGGAAAGTTGTTACGTTACTACAATGTAATTCAAGGAATAAAAAGTTTACGAATGTTTTAAATATTTACAAATATCCTACCACACTGTCTTAGGGGTCTATCACTGTTTGTATTAATAAACTACCGCTAATTTGGTTTCTGAAGTGACAAAACTGCTAACAGCTTAACTATTTTTAATTTTTTTTTTTTTTATAAGAAGAGAGAGAGAGAGATAGAGTTCATACCCTATACTCGACCAAGAATGATAGAATACAAGATTGCGCCGATCAGAGAGGATTTTTGAGAATAACTTTTGTGTGAGGTCACACTGGTGCAATTGCGAGAGAGAAATGCCAAAACGTGAGCAAGAATGGAAGAAGAAAAAAAAATTTTGCAAGGAAAACGTAAACAAGTTGCACAAGTGTGACGTCCTGCAAACAACGATTCTTTCAAATTCAAATCTCAAATGAGAGAGGAATAGCGGTGCGAGATCGGCGCAACCTTTGTATTCTCTCAATCGTGATACTCGACCATATCCACAACCTGCACTGAGTTTTATTTTGACTGTATTTCGTGATTTCTTTTTGTCGCACTGTGTTATTATCAAATTATTTTCCGTTCGCTTTAGAAAAATACTTTTTTGTGTTGCGCGGTCTATGATCGTATCACATAGGTAAATCAGAGTGGAATTGCGCACATGCAACTACGTCAAACGGGATTCACTCAATAAATAATTAGGTATAACATCAAAACATATGTATTTTAATTTAAAAAAAAAATTATTCGAGACTAAAACGGAGCTGAAACTTGTATTTTCCTTGGGACTTTTGTTAACTTTGGAGTGTGGAAAAACCTTAAGATCAATAGATTCATATGCTATTTAAGCGTGATTTTGGTCATGCTCCCGACGCGCGATAAAAAATCTATTCCTCCATATCGTTGCGTCAAAAAGGCCCTAACCAAAAAATTTTTTATTTTACAGGAGAAGCAAAAAAAAACATCATAAAAATACAATCAAGAAAAGTGGCATATAACTCCGTTGTTTTTGGTACTAGCACCTTAAAATTTGTATCAAAGGTGTATTTCAATATTTTCTTATAAACTCTGTGAAAAACGCAGTTTCGAAAAAATTGTTGATTATGATTATTGAGGTTGAGTGTTTGTAAATTAAGGTACCGATATGCACTTATCCCTAATATACATATTTCGTAATTTCATTGAAATATAAAATTATACCGATAAAATTTCTTTACAAAATCTCTTGAAGTCGTACGAAGCCTTTTTTCTGACGTATTTATATAAATATCAAGCCTTCACCGTCAAAAAATCATAAACGACATTTTTTCAAATACTTCTTTTTGATTGATAAATGGTTGGATGCTCTAAGAGAACGAAACTTTTGAAAACACTGTGGCTTACGTTTTTTTTTTTGGCGCTTAGGGCTCGACATAATAACTCAAATCCTTGGAGTTCCTCATAGTCAGACTTTACTCCGCTGTGGATTACCAAAAATTAAAATTTTCTCTAAACTGGTAACATACATATTTACGTTACAACAAAGGGCATATGCAAGTATGGAATTCTTAATTTTATTATCATAAATAAGTATGTGAAGTATCTTAATATAAAAACTATGCATAATTAATTCCCATTTCACAAATGTACATCTGAAATTGGTTTGTAGTATTTTTTTTTTTAATATTGTATGTATGTATGTACATTTAAATACATTCGCGTTTAGAAATATGTACTATGTATGTATCTACCTATTTAGTATACAAAGAGGATGAAAATAAATAATTTAGTAAATAAATAAATAAATAACTACGTACTACAGTAAATCTATACGAGTAAAAGATGTTAGTAAAGGAGGGTATTGGAGATGGGCGCGGGAAGCGGGTCGGCGGGATTCTCGAGACCCACGGTACTAATTTCAAAAGGACCGGGATGGAAGGCATTGAGACGGTCCTTAAAAATTTACGTGCGGGACGGAACGGAAATTCTTTCTCAAAACTCTTGAAAAACCTGGAACTTTCAAAAATTCGAAAATTCTTCCTTAAAAACGTCGGGGGACGGTGATTTCATCAAACAATTAATAAGCTTGGCAAGTAGAATGTGTTCAGCCTAACTGACTAACTTTTTTCCATATAAAGTATTTTCGAAAAGAATTTTTTGTATGGAAGAGACTGTGTGAAAAAAATTGCCAAAAATCAACAGTAGTTCTTAGCTACTTAAAACTTGGACTTTATTGTAATAAAATTGATTCGGCTACAAATCTGCATACTCAAAAAAATCTGATTAAAAAGTTGAGAATTTTCGCGAGTTTTGCACAAAGTTTAGGAATTGTATTTTGATGTTTTTTTGTTGTAGAATGAACCATATTTTTATACGAAATTAGGGGGGAAATATTAGAATCAAAATTGTTGCATATATTGCGAAAAATTTGCTGTGCCAATACTTTGTTCCGGCAGTGTATGTATGTATGTATATGTGTGATAAGTGTATAGTTACTCAATTGACATATCAGATTTTTTGAAAACTTCCGCCAAATATACAAATGCGTCTTCAGTAACTGTCAAAGCAGATAATAAATATTCCGTCATCGTCATTAAAACATTAAAAAATAATGCACATCTGCACTTATTATATCCATGCAGATTGTTGTTAAAATTTTTTAAGCAGTAAATAAAGTTTCGTTCCAGTTTTTGTTGGTACAATACAATTTTTCTGTTACAAAATGTTTGATCTGCAAATACATATGTACATATGTATGTACGCATTAATATTATTACTTTTTAACATTTAATTGTTGTTTAGAGACAAAAATTTCTGTTAAAATTCAAATGACTCTTAAAATATTTTTGAAATAAATGATGATTTCTCACCACAAACTTGTAACCGCAATTTTCGAATGTTGCTTTTTTCTGGGACATATTCATAAATATCGCACACCGTTTTCAAAAGGGTCACAACTCAAAATAATACGTTCGTCAGAAAATGCGAAAAACTATTTCGTATCACATTCTAATCATATGGGCAAGGGCGACTTTACCTTCGGTTTTTGTAACAAATTATAATCAAAATTTGCTCCAGCTTTTGCTGAAAGGTAAATAAAAGCTCTGTGTACATTTTTAGCGCATAATTTCAAAGATGCCAAATTTTGAATTGCGCTCTTTTGAAGACGGTGTGCGATATGTAAATCGAATTTCGGGATGGGCGGGATTGGATTTAAATACTTAGTTCCGTGCCCACCTCCAGAGAGTATGGTGATAAATTAGAAGTTAATGCAGCATTTGTCGAACAATTTCTTGGCATTGGGGTAAGAGATTATCAATTATTATTTTAAAGTCACACTTATTTGTAAATTCGGCAATATATCTTTCAGATGCGGTTTGTAGTGCATTCGAGTAATTATGAAAGCCCTATCGTCTTCACGACAACCGGATGCCAAGTATTGTCATCAGTATTCGAATTGTTAATTCTCTCCACACTACTACCGGCTCTGTCACGCAAAACTATGCCACTTTTTTCACTTCCTGACATAGCTCCAAAACCAATACGACGCTCATGGGGTTGATAGCTGCTTATATCTTTTGATTGATCTGATGTTTGGTACTTTGTTATCGTGTGGGGAAAAATTTGCCCATTTCTGTCAGCAACCTCTTGACTCTTGTCCGAAATTGTTTCGTCTATTGCCTCAGCTGCAGAGTATTTGTGATTTTCGAAAAAGTCAATAATAGGATGATAGCTATAATTTATCCGTTTTGGGCCAGGGCCAGATGATGCCTGAACCGTGTTTTGTGAATCAGTTAAGCTAATTTCGATGTCGTTGCCAACATTCTTTGCATCATATTCAGGACGATAAACGGAGTTTACATGGTAGGGAGGAGCACGTGAGGATTGCGCTGGCGGCGATTGTTTATGTTTGAATACACTCCACTGGTTCGAATGCTCGATTGGGGATGGTTCTGCTGCTGCCGCCGGTGCTGGAAGTGTAGTTGCTGTTGCTGAACGGAATCGCGTCTTTTGCTTCTTCCCTGAATTGCTGGCAAATTGTCTATTCCTATAAACGCTGCTGGTGATTTTGCTATTGTTGGCTTGGGTTTGAGAGACTCTATTGGAACCGGAGCCCGGCGCTGACGTTTGGTAGGGATAGGTGGCATAACTGCCTCGATTTCCGATAACTCCACGCGCATCGGTCGTTGTTGCCGGGGTTGTGATTCCAACTTCCATTGGAAAGCTACTTGCGAAGGTAGATATGGTTGGCCCCGCCTTTTCTGCTTTGGTGAATAAGGTGCTGACGGTAGCTGTATGGGGCACAGAATGAATACGTTGCCGTTTTTGTGGAACTCGCTTATTAGGATTGGCCAATGAGCCGCCAGATAAGTTTACCTCTTTTTCCGGGTGCAGCTCACTTGGCGAAAAGTCCAAATCCACTCGTGCTTCGTTGTATACGTTCGCTGTACCCAGGCTCGTATAAGGACGTCGACGTACCGAGTTCCGAATTACATTTTTAGCAGCTGATACCGGCGAGTCACTAGAAGAAGAACCGAAATGCTGATGGTGATGTTTTTGTTTCTTATAGTCAAAAATTTCGTACTCTTCTTCACCACTGGGTGGACTCAAATATGATCCGAGAGTTGGATTTGGGGATAGAAGCTTGGCTCGCACGCTTTGGCTAGCAAGCAGTAGCTCGTTGTTGTCATATCCAGTGTCATGTTTTTTATGTTTGCCTTTAAAACCATTATTAAATCGGTAATTTATGACATCTTCATCTTGATCATCATTGTAGTCTAGTTCCTCATTTATAGTTGAATAAACTTCTGCACCAACCGCCGGAGTGAAGTCCTTTACTTTGCTACCAGACAAGGGAGGAAACTGCTGCCTGAAACCATCTACTTGGCAAGAGCAACAAGTAGGTACTTTAAAAATGTCAACGTGCAGACCTCTGGTCTTATCCCAACTAAGAAGACGATGATAATTGTAGACCTGAGCACAGTGAGAGCGATAACTGCGTGCCAAGTAGGAACAACTCTCTTGTGGCGTACTACGGTTTTATCATAAAAAATAAGACACATATGATATCATTATAGACTATTTGAGGAATTAAAAAATACTGAGGAGACTTACGTGCATTTCTCCAGCCGCAAGGTTTGAGTATGTTGCCCAGTGTTGACTATGTACTTCCACTCTCCGGAAGCAGAGCGGGCTTTTTGAGGGCGCGCATATCGAACAATACTTTGACACATTCCACCTCCAGTAGCGTCGTCCTCTCGGCTAAAAAAGATTTCAGTCAAATTGGAATTTCATTTCTATACTTGCAAGTATATTTTAAAGAGCTTCCACTGACCGACGAATGGAGTAGTCATCGAAATCATCAGTGATATCTAGCTGAGCAGATTTTTCGTGATAGTCTGCCCACAGCGCTGTCATGGCATTCTTGTGCCGTCGAATGCTGCCCATTATCTGGTCCCTGTCATTGTTTTGGTCAGATTAAAAATTTGTGAACAGTCAACTTTTTTACAAAAATACTTAGGGGTAGTAGTGAGATCAAGCGAAGAAAGAAGTGCAACAAGGGAACCCATTACATCGTGCTAACGTTCGATTTAATAATATTTTATGGCAAAGAACAAAACCAAGCCAATTATTTATATTTATTAGTAAACTAAAATACTCCACCGTTGCCAAAATAATAGGACTTAGAGAACTCAATTTATACAAAATAAATACACCTTTCCCCAATCAGAAATTAGAGCTTAATTTTTTAATTTGCTTTTTGTGAAGAGGAATTGGGGTCTTACAGCGGATAATCGTCAGTTCGAATACACATAGAGGAAGTAAACCGTTCGCATTTTTTTGGTGGTGCAACACCATTGCCACCTCTTCCAATGCTGTTCTGTGCTGCTATTTTTGAACGCATGCGCGAAACTTGTACGCGTTTCCGTTTCACAGTTGGTGGTTTAGGTCGGCCGGATGGCATTTTATTGCTGGAAATGCGATATCGTGGCCCTGCTATAAGTTCCTCGGGACTTGGTAATAGTTCGTCCAAAGCGGCAATTGGCGTTTCCGTAGCGACTTGCAAATTAACCGCCGTTCCGTTCAAACTGGCAAACGCGAGATCCTCAACTTCTTGATATGACTGTGTAGATGGCAATTGACTGCCGGTAACTTGTTTGTTTTCATTTATTGGTAAAAAAGTTTCCATTGTAGTGGTGCTACCGGGAAAAGGATCACTACTTAGATCTTTGGAACTAAAAAAGCCAGACGTGTTTAGTTTGATATTGTTTTCGGGGCCATCGGGACTATTGTTGTTTTTATCGATTGAAAGTGGCATTGAACGAACCAGTTTGTGGACAAACTCAGGCGACACAACTTCCCGCTTAGTTCGGTTCGGGGATGCTATTGTGGAACTTATATTTGTTGGTTTTGTGTTCCAAGAAATTATATTTTTTGTTTTAATAGGCGACGCTGCTCTTTTATTGGCGGCTGCTTGTAATTCCTCATTTATACTTTGCGGATCTAACATCTCCTCACCAGTTTCGCTGAAAAAGTCGTCTAATGCCGATTCGCTGTTTGTGTTGTTGTCAAATTCCGCCAACTCTACGGTATATAAATCGTCAATGCGCCGGTCGATAGTGATATGTTGCTCGTTTGGCTTGTGCGTTGGTACGTCAAGTTCGAAGCCCAAATATTTGCGTGCCGAGTTGCGTACTAGATTTGCAATATCAAATACAATCGGCAATAACAATTTTTCGTCGTTGCCGAACATCATTTGAACCTTTGGTAAAAATTAAAAAAAAAAAACGGCAAATGCGTGGTTAAAGCGAAATTTGTCCTCTGATCCTGAACCCTGAGTTATTTACTCACCTGTTGTAATTTGAGTCCACTGTTTCCTCTGGCACTTATTTGTGCTGATATGAGGGCGGACAATGCTAGGCGCTGTTGAGATGATAGTACTCGTAATATCGGCATAACTTCAACAAATTTCTGACGCAATGAAGCATTCGTCAATGCTTTCGACAAAGCATTTTTCAAAATATTCTCCCGCCAATCGAATGGATAGATTTGGTTTTCCTCTTCAGAATTAACGATTGTTTCCGATGATTTTATATAACTTTGCCCCGCAGTATTATGTGTTTGGTCTGCAATTTGTTCAGTATCATAATTCCAATCGATTTCTTTGGGATTGGCAAAATCAAAGTCAGCCAAATCTTCGTCAGCTGATAAAACTATATAAATTAAGCAGTAGAGAGTAGCCCAGAGAGGGTAACGAAATATTTGATACGTCCTCATGCTTGATATGTATTTCGAGAAGAACCTGAAAATGAATTCAACTAAAATTAAAAACTCGATATAGTAAGTAAAATGATATTCGAAAACTCATGTATATATACCAGAGTTGGGCACACTGTACTAAATTTTTAATGCACTGAGCATTTCGCTACTCGAATAGTGGTAGTGAAATTTGAAATGCATTTATATATATACTATATGGTTAGTGGTTATACATTTTTGAACAAACTTGTTGAAAGGAAATGGGTATTAAAAACGCAGATCACCAAATTTGCTTAAATTTGTAAACTAGTGTAATTAGTCAGTGATACTGAAATTCTCGTTCCCTTACCGCTAACCATATAGTGATAGTGAAAATTCTATTTCTTTCGACTATGGAGTAGTCTGAAAATCGGTAAAACGAAATTATTCGAATAGTGATACTTTTTCGCCATAACTAGCGCGGTTGGGTTATGTCAATAAGCATAGGCACTCAAAGAATATAAAAGAAATATTTCTGAAAGAAACCCCCTAGTCGAAAAATCGAATGCGGTCTAGTTGTTTGGGAGCAGTTAGTTGGATAAGTCGAAAAGAAACGGTTAATTGATTAAGTGAAGTCGATTTTTTTCCCATACAACAATTTTTTTTTTAACCAATAATTATTACTAAAAAAAATTGATTATAGCTTAAAATTATTGTAACCAATAGAGGTATGTTGTACAAAAACACATAAATAGACGTTCACAAAAGTTTATATAAAACTATTCGTCGATTTAAATAATGCACTTATTACTGCACATGTTTTTTTACGAGGAGGAAGCATCGAAAGCCTCAGCCTGTGTTCACCCAAACTAAACTTCCTACCGTCGTGTACCGTTCCCCTCCTGGTACCACCGCCAAGGATTTCGTCATTTCTTTTCTGTGCCAACTGACGCCTATTGTAAATGCCAAGCGAACCCAAGTCCTTCTCCACTTGGTCCTTCCATCGCAGTGAGGGCCTTCATCTTCCACCATCGTAAGCCGCTTTGAATACTTTCAGACCTGAAACGTCTCTGTCCATTCGTACGACATGACCCAGCCAGCGTAGCCGTTGTATTTTGATTCGCTGCACTAAACTCCAAGAGCCGCCTCATCAGATGACAGGAAATACTTCGTTTGGTCCTCGCTCACCATCAGACCCACACGCTTTGCTTCCAATTCTTATTCCGAGAAGGCAGAACAGACGTAGCCCTTATTTCTACCAATAATGTCGATAGCGTCGGCATACGCCAGCAATTGTACGCTCTTGTAAAGTATTGTCCCTGAGCGACATTTATTATCTTCTCCAACATCAGATTAAAGATATCACATGAAAGGAAGTCACCTTGTCTGAAACCTTGTTTGATATCAAATGGCTAGGAGAGATCCTTCTCAATTCTGACGGAGCTGGTGGTATTGCTCAACATCGTTTTACATAGCCATATTAGTTTCGCGGGGATACGAAATTCAGACACCACGAAATAAGGACAACTTCTTTTCGTGCTGTCGAAAGCGAATTCGAAATCAAAAAATAGAAGATATGTATCGATCCTATTCTCACTGGTTTTTACCAAGTTTTGGCTTGTTGCGAATACAAGACTTATGGTGGATCTGGCAGATCTGAAGCCACACTGGATCGACTCCATCGCCATCGGCTCGGGGCTCGGGTTCGTCTTCTCCACAACTTTTAGTTCAACATTCCTCACAACAACAGTTCAAGTACATTCTGGAGACCGGTCACTAGATCGCCATGGTTATTCCTACAGGAGTCTTGAAAACTTCGCCAAACTCTCTGATAAAAATTTCGGGGGTTTTTCCGGTCAGCCAGCATTTCAAGCTCTTCGCACAGAAGTTGCTGCAAATACGTCTGGCTCCCCTCATCAGTTACTTATAACGATTCCACGTAGCTCGCGTTGCGCCCGATCGCCGCGTGGCCCTGTTGGCGGCACCTTTTTTTGCAGCTTCCTCACACTCCTCATCGTATCAGTAATGAGCGGTAAATGTGGTGCCACTGCTCGCGTATCTCGGTTTGTTGAAGGGTGCTCACTCACAGCAGGTGTGCGAGTCGAGTGGCGTATCAATTGGCCGTCTGTTGTGATTGCAGCTTTTCGACGTTGAGATTTTTCCTTGCATTGTGGCACATTTTTTGCTGCACGCAGGCGGGTGAGTATTTTGGCTCCAACCGGATAGTGGTGCGAATTGCTGTTTAGCCCTCGGAGTGTACGTATGTACATCTAAAACACAGGAAGCATGCCTTCCGTCTATTACAACATGATCGATTTGGTTTCTCGTTTTTCGATCTGGAGGCGGCCATGTTGCTTGATGGATCTTTTCATGCTAGAGCCCAGTATTACATACTACCACGCTTCAGGCCCCGGCGAAGTCGATCAGCAGCAGCGCGTTATCGGGCGTTTGGTCATGGAGGCTGAATTTTCCGATAGCGGGGGCAGCGCTCGTACGTTATCTCCAAGCGCTCATAGAAGATATAATTGGATGCCTCGTCCTTCTCTTCCATCGGGACATCGGCAAATATGATGCAAATTATGGCTAGACGTTCGTCAACTAGAGTGGAGGCCAGTACCCGGCGACGGAATCTCTCTCCCACCACAAATCCAAGACCGAATTTGCGCTCTTTTATGTGACAACTGCAGTAGACGTCGCAAGACTCCACGCTTACCTTGCCCTGCGCCGTCCATCGCATTTCATAGATTTCTGCTATCAAAAAGCTTCTCATAAATAAAACCCGCCCAAATGCTTAGAAAAATCTTTTACCGCCAAATATTTATTTTTGTTACTTAATTTAAGGGAGATGGCAATCTTCTGGTTTGAACCATTTGTTTTGATTTTCAGTACGACCAAGTTTAATCAAAATATTAACGAAAATTATATCCATGTTTTTGAGTAGGGTTTAACGTTAAACTCCAAAATGGCCCATGTCACTTCTAAATTCGACCATATTTATTTACTCCTTATTTGATTTTTGGAATTATGACGTTCTTCCAGCAAACGAGCGATAAACTAACAAATAATATCCTATTTTTCACACGATTATATGGCAGCCATGCAGATTGTCAACAATTTTCTATCCCAGCTGAGGCGGTCATCCATCCGCAGGCAACTAAGTTTTAGCAAGAAACAAGTTTTACTTGCCACTTGAGTGTAAACAAGTAAACAGTAAAAGCGGATACCGGCCACATGCGCTAGCGAAATCGTAATGTCGTTTGACCTTTAAAAGTGAAAATATTCACAAGTGTTGTTTCTTCAACAATGTATTGAAGTTTGAAGAAAAGCTCTAAGTGCTTGCATCACAAATGGAGGCGGCAGTTATAACTAACCACCTGCTTCGCAATTGCCACCGCTACTGGAAAAGCTGCAAGCGCTGCATTTAATGAAAAATGCCTTTTCACGACAAACGGCAGTTCGTTTGCCTCGCAAATACTTCGACCATAACAACTTGGACGCTAAAACTTTCAATATGACGATGAGCATCACTGTTGGTTAGAGAAAATGCATTTTTCCGATTTAGTGTTTTTTTTTTATTATTATTATTGGCAGAGGAAATAAATTGGAAGGCATTTTGTGTGCATACATAAATGCGAAACCTTTATTTCTTCACTTTTTGCGTCACAATTTTCACATCTTCTGTTGATTATGAAATTGCGTTGATTACAAAAACCAGTAAGATATTAATCATGCAAAAATTAATTATAGCTCTTAAAAACACCAGAAAACTTATAAATTGGTTAACAAAACTAATTTTCTAATTGACTATTTGTAGAACATTAAATAAAGAAACCCGAAAACTTGATCTAAAAATGATGGGAATTAACATTGAGGAAGTGAGCATAATTATTTAAGTACTCAGGCATTCAAATTGACGATCAATTGAAGTTGAATGACCACATTGAATATATAGTTGGAAAAATTGCTAAGATCTCTTATAGAGCCGTATTTTTTATATTTTTTACCCAACAATATTATTTATTGCTAACGAAGCGCAAGTAACTAGATAAGCTAAGGCTATGAGATTTACCCAGACGTGCGCTATGAGACTCCCATAAAGAATATAAACGAAACTATGATACAAAGATAGATATTGGCATTCGTTGTTGTTGCCGACCATTTGATTTTTAACAAATTTATGACATTTAACTAAAATATTGCTACCACATTCACTATCCGCAAAATTTTTGTTTCTTAAAAAGGTAAAAGAAATGTTAGAAGTTGGTGAAGTTGGTTGAGAATATTGAAAGAAAAGTCTTGCGGGTTTCAAAACGGCAAGAATTCGGTACACCTGTGCAAATATTTTTAAACATCTAAACGATGTACCGTTATACGTGGAATAGGGATTTTGGATTCTCGGAATTTTCCAATAAAGATGTGGCGCTGCTAAAAAATTTACTATATATACATACATAAGTACATATAAGCACGAAACAACATACATACTTATGTATTTGTGACAGGCATTAAGCACATAAGAGAGAAAATGACTGCAGTTTCATTTGATACAATTTTTTTTATAACTAGGGATGTTCGATATCGTATCGATTATTCTGAATATCGATATTCGAAGGTCGATATATCGAAGACATCGATACTTTACCCGCAATATCGATATTTAAGTTGAAATTTATTTTTCATCTACAAAAAAGTGTATGGGAAAATACTAAAGTAGGTTTAATCAGCCGCTTGTGTGATTTATTTAGCTTTTAAGTTTGACAAACCGCTGCCGTTTAGTCCTCAGTAAATATACAAGATGGAAATAACACAATAGGCAGGTCTAATATTCTATTCAATTAATAATAATAATAATAGATTGGCGCTTATACACATATGTAAGTGTTTGGCCGAGCTTCTCCTCCGACTTGTGGCGTGCGCCTTGATGTCGTCACACAAAGCGGAGGGACCTACAGTTTTACGCCGATTCCGAACGGCGATTGTATTTTTATGAGAAGCTGTTTTTTTTGTGGCAGAAATACACTCGAAGGTTTGCCATTGCCTGCCGAGGGACGACCGTTGTTATTTCTATGTATGTATTTCTTTTGTATGTTCTATTCAATTGGGAGTAGGATTTTCAACATCGATTTTTCCGATATCGATATTGTTCAGCCTGATATTTCGCCATATCGATTTTACATGCAATGAATTAAATCGATTCATGATATCGATACTTTCTTAAATATCGAACATTCCTATTTATGACAAGTATGAAAATCTAAGTTCGGGCCAAGCAGAACATTAAATACCCGGCGCAAGTATTAAATACACTTAGGTCTCTTTTTATGCTTTTTTTTAATGCGGATTTGGATTTATGCGGTTTTTCAAACCATTTTTTGAGAGTTTGTATTACATGTGTTCACTTTGTAAGAGACAGTGCTTCTGATACATATTTTGTCTTTGTATTCTTACATAATTCATATCGTCGTTTAAAGTGCAAAACCGCGTATCAACAAAATGCAAAACCGCGTATTAAACTTTTGGTTTGAAATATGCTGATGAGGTTATATTTTCTAAGCGCGGCCGAAGGGCACCAACGCGGAAAGGAGTTTTGCGAAGAAATGCTGTTGATGGCCTAACCCGAGTTAAATTTTTATTAGTGAAAATGCTAATTTTACCCCATTGAAAATAAAAATATAAACATCTTACTTTTATTTTCTTCCATTTTTGGACGCCAAAATGGAGCACACTACCAAAACCGAAACGAATCTGAGTGAAGAGGGTAAAACTGTTATTACGGCTTGGCGGTGCCGTGGAGTGGAAAGCAGACCTTTCCGCTTGCGGTCCACATGAGAGGGTGCACTTGGTGAAACCGTCATCGGGTTAGAGTAGAGACGAGGCCTCTCCAGCTGCCCGTCGAATTCAATGCGTTTTTGAATTTAAAAATAGTAAAGTTTTATTATATATATGATAAGTTTTAAGCCTAAAACGCCGAGATAAAAAATAATTAAATAACACAAACTTATAACTTTTAAAATAGTATCTTTTAAGATACTAAGAACCGATATTGATTTCGTCATCCAAATTTACACATGTATTTGGCTGGCTATTTTTGATCAAATTTTCAAACTAATACTAAAGAACATAAATAACATAAACCCACTAATAGAAGCTGGTTGAACTCAACTACGTTGGATCTTAAGCCATAAATTAGCTGAAGGTTTCGATGGGTTTCTTGATTACGGATAAATACTGAGTCGAAACATATGTATGTACGTACATATCTCTACAACATGGTACCATAATTACAGGTATTGTCTTCGCAGAGAGTTTTGCTCCACATCGAAATTCGTGCTCCCTTATTTTCATTTTGACGCAGTTCAATGTTTTACTTTTATTTGGCTTTGCTTTTTGTTTTCGCTCAAGTTAATTTTTATAATTTTTCATAACAAAAGAAAAAAACATTTGAAATGAAGTAAGCCATATAAATTTTGAATTTACTTACTAGCAAATGTTTTTTTATCGGCTTTTGCAAATTAAATAAGTTCCCAACAATATGGTTTGTTTAAAATAATACGTGTACATATATGGTATATGGGGTATGGAAATATTCCCTAACAGTAAACGTTTTAGTGTGGGCGACAATGATATTTTTTAAATAAGGCAGATCGGAATATGCTCTCTCTGGGAAGACAATACCTGTAATTATTGTACCATGTCTCTACAAATTCCATTCGACAGTAAATATCTAAGCTTTGCTAATACACGCTAGCTTAGCTAGTTACCAAATCTTGGTTGAGGCAAATGCATTTTGTTTTGAGAGCAGAAAATATTCACGTTCAAATCACACATTCATATTTGGCGATGTTTCATTTCTACCTTTGCTGCCGTGGGCGGTTATTTTTTAGCCCGAAATTATTTAGAAAGTATTACTTTTTAAGTTTCAAGCAGAATCGAGTGGTTTTTAGTAAATATATAACTCACTTTGTATTAATTTGAAAACCAATATCAAATGAGTAAGTTGTTTTGACATTTACCATAGTTTCTCACAAATTTTGGCGATTAATTACGTAAAGTGTTTCCCCTTAGACCTCGTTTGAGTAACTTGAGGACACTTTTGGAGTGCCAACTTAATCGCACTCTGATCTTCTTAATATCGGCCAGGATGCTATAAAAAATACAAGGCTACGACATTCATTCTTTTTCCCTTTTTGCTACAAACCATGCATTGCAAATTTTTAGCAAGTATTAGCTCCGACCAAAATAACTAAATTCTCACAGCTACCACTACACAGCTGTTGGTAAAAGAAACTACAGAATGCGAAATACATTGCGACGACAGCTAAGTTGAGCCAAACTAACACTTTTTTGACTAAAGTAGACTATCACAAGATTTAAGTCTCCAAAAAAATTTACAAAATAAATTGGAACAAATAACACAAACGGCAATAACACAAAATTTGCTTTATTTCACTTTTAAATGGAAAATAATACCAAAACCTCAGTTTTGCTTTATTTCCAACAAAGGTTGGAAAACAAAAACAGTTTACCGGCAGAAGGAAAAAAACTTTGTTTATTCCAAAAATACAATTAAAAAAAAGTGATATAATTCATATGAAGAAGGTAATATTCACAAAATATTTTTACTTATGAAAAGTCTAAAAAAATATAGAAATATAGTTGTGTTATTTCACTAAATAAACTCATTTCTTGCGTACTATGAATTTTAGTATGGGAATGCAGAAAATACTTCGATAGGAATGTCTTCACTATTTCTAATGTGACCAGGTTCGCTTCCTAAGTCTTTCGATTCACAATAGGTGAGAAGCGTCTACTTTATTACATATGTATGTATGTATGTAAGTACATATGTATGTGTTTATCACGCCAAATTTAAATGTGGCATGCACGTCCAAAAACAGGAAACCTAAACTTAACATGATGGACTAATTGCTCATTTGCATATACATATTTATGTAAAGATGTACGCGAGTTATGGCCATTTTTCGATAGAGATGAACGACGATAAGCTATAAACCAATATAAAGCGGAAACCTAAATACAAGTAAAAGAGAAGTGAAACACCTAAAAATCATCATAAAAGCGATTATAATAAGAAAGAACCCTTAACCGCTGCTACTATCAAACAAGTTATAATGTTGTCAATGAGCACTACATTGTAAAAACAACAATACGAAATCAGAAATCCGAGACGCCATAGGAAAAGTTGACACAAATATTTCAATTGCTTGTATGTATGCATACATATTTACAACAACGTTCCTTTGCTAGCAGATACACGCAAAACATTTGCAAGCAAGCAAGCAAGCACAACTTGCGAGAGCGGGTCGGTCCGCTTTTACAATATTGATTAAATAAATCGATAAAACAGTTCTACGCAAGAAGTATGCATAAATTAAATTTTATTAATGGAGAAAACTAAGAAAGTTGAATCTCATTCACCTTATTTCAGCTTTTTCGTTTCATATATATATATATTATGTGTGTACACACATACAATCAATTTATTTTGGTCATTTTAGTATGTACATATGTATAGCTATGTATGTATGTATGTATGTATACATACCACCTTTTTATAAAGCTATTTCTCCTCACTGTGTAAACTAATCACTTATCATTTACCAAAATACACAAACAATGCTAGAAGATTTGCATTGACAATTCAGTTTTTTGTCTCCTGCAGTTTGAACAAAATCAGTTTCCTATTCAATATTTCTTCTTTTCCTTACTGTTTCTTCCGTAGCTTTAACTTTCTTCAGCTATTTGCTTATCTTCTTTCACTCTGTATTCCATTGGTCACACTTCCCTTCACATTTTATTCAGGGAATTTCTTCAAAAGTACTCGTATAAAGTTAAAAAATTTCTAAATTTCCACTGTTTCCAAATGCGCACAGTTTTCAAGCGTCGTACCGCTTTAAGCTCTTTCCGCCAACTGAATTCAGCGATGTGAACTCAATGCTAAGTAACTCCAAGCTGTCGGTTGTCTCATATCGTTGTTGTTGCAAAAATGTGGGAAATACATAAATACATACGTTCTTACTGATATTTCTTTCGAACATTGCCACTAACTGCTAATCTACGAAATTTAAGTAACAAGCAGTATGAATTTTTTTTTAATTATTTAACTGTTCCTAAAAATGAATATGTAAATGGCAAAGAAGTACATAAACTTTATTTCCATGTCAGAGCATTGAATTGCAAATCCAAAAATGTTAGAAAGCGCCAAGAGAATGTGGCTGACCTGAACAACTAGTTGTAGCGGAAAAACATGCTCCTCAGTGCACTCTCCATGGCTCTCACCGACAGTATATAGATACATAAGTATTAACACTACTTACCAACAACATAATAGTTAATAAAACTGCAAACCATTTTTTTCGTATCGTTTTTCTTTATTGCTGATGGCAGTTATGAATTTTCACATAATATTAAGAGTTAATTCCAATCATGGCTTACATTTTCAATGCGTCACATTTTGAGTTCATTGAACAGAAGAACTTGTATAAGTCGATTTGTGCATGCAAATGTAACAAGCGCCAAGAGAAAATATCCGTAAGCAAGGCAGTGTTTTACTACTGGGTTGGTGTCAACATAACTGGCCAGCAGTGTTTGTTTTTTTTTTTGTTTTTTGGGGGGACAAGAACTTTAAATCTTCGAGGGGCAGGTTTATTTAATAAGAATTCTCTTGAAGAAATCTTTAGTTTGAAGATTTAGAATTTTTGCGATGTTTTGAAGAGAGTTGCCACCTGTTGAAAAGTTAAATCCAGATTATTTAATACGTTAAATGAATTAATGAAATGGGTTTGAAAAATATTTATTTCTGAACTATATTTAGCAGTGTTGCCACGTGTTTAAAATAGCCAATGAAAATATGTATCACAATGTGAAATGAAAGAGGTTTAAAAAGATTTACTTTTAAAGAGACTTCCTCCCTGTTTGAAAAGTCGAATTTATTCAAATTAGACACAAGTTAAAAAAAAATATGAGAGTAAAACGAAAGAGTTTTAACACTTCTAGTTTAAAGATATTTTTATTAGCGTTGCCACCTATTCGAGAAGTAATGTCTATCTAATTAAATATGTAAATGTATGCTCCTAAAATTTTTTGCAAAGGTCATCAGATCTGACCCGTTATGTCGAATTCAAAAATTAAATACCAAATAAATTACTTGTCCAAGTAGATATGCAATAAGGTTTTATTTTTTAAAGTTAGAACTTTAATTATTTTTACAAGGATGTATATATATCTCTTCGCCTAACAACATTAGCAAGAGAGCTTTATCCTTTAGTATGCTGAGGGACTTATAAAAAAAAATATGTCGAATTTCGACAATTGGGCGATACTGGTCAGTTTGAATTTTTTGTCGGAATGCTATGCAGAGCAAAGCAAGGGTGCAATTTTGAGTAGTAGTTAATGCAGTTATTTTATGTTCACTTTGCCGCCAAATCGTTAAAAGTATACGTTTAACTTTTTCTAGTGTTAATTTCTCTGTGTATTTTCGTTGCATATACCACATAGATATGTACACAAACAATTTTTTTCAGGAGAAAACAGCACCTTTAATTAAACTTAACCATCCAATCAGCTTTAGTTAAATATTTGAATACATTAGTAATGGTATCTGAAAGCATTTAAAATGGAAATAAGGCCCTCAAAAAAGAAAATAAAGTCTGCGGCTACTATTTCCGTGGCTGCGAATGCACTTAATAATTTAAATATTAATAATTAATAGATATTAAGTGCTAAAATTTTCAGGGAAATTCTTTTAGGTATTTCCCATAAAATTTCGAGGTGGTGGTAAAATAAAATATATTCGCAGAAAAAAAATCCTAATATATCACACACGATCTTAGAAAGTGACACAACTCAAAAATTGGTATAACACAATAAAAATGTACACAGAGCTTTTATTTACCTTTAAGCAAAAGTTAGAACATTTTTTTTTTTTGTTTAAAAAACCTGAGGTAAAGTCTGCCTTGCCCAAATGATTAGCATGCGTTACGAAATAATTTTTCGCATTTTTTGACGAACGAGTAATTTTGAGTTGTGTCACTTTTGAAGATCGTGTGCGATATATAGATTACTGTTGTACTACAAAAGATTTCTTAATCTTTACTGTACCAATGCATTGATTAATAAATGAACTGAAATGAAATTATTATCTTCGGCATCTTTTATTTCTTCCTCACTTGGAAACAACTCAACCTCTCTTCTGAGCTTTTCGTCAACTAGCGAACTTCTGTGTGAAAGAGATGGTTCTCATCGCCAGACACCATTTCATTGCACAGGACCACTGGTGGTCCGTGGACCATTGGTTGGGAAACATTGCGTTATACATACATACGTTGCGCATTTTGACGACGCATAAAAGTGGGTACAACTGTTTTTCTTGCACGAGAATACAAGCACGATTACGTGAAAACGGCTGTAACACTCTATTGCCCTCGAAGCGAGGTGCTTGCATGAGTTGCACCAATGCTGAAGCCATGAACTTGCAGATAATTGAAAATTATAGCAAAAGAAACAACACAAGCAACACTGCCGCCACACTTCTCGACTAACTCGTTATCATCTTCCCATACAATTTGTGTTGCCCGAAGCTTGGTTTAAGACTTTTATGCTTTTATGTGGAATGTTAGTAGAAATGCATATTTAGATGGCTTTTCTCAAAATATTCAAGCAACAAATTTCTGCTCGTTTGAAATATCCGCTTAACTCTACAGACCAGCTTTAATATGAAAACAAGGAACATTTATTTCGCCAATTGTATGTGAAAGTGTAATTTTGATGCCCGAAACCGTTCGTGGATTCTCATTAAAAATTGCCTAAAATTATCTACTTTGTGTTCGTAATATATGAATAGGAAAGCAAAAAATATCCAACAACAATGTAGTTTCATTAATAATAGAGATTTTAGATTAATTTTTTGATTAATCATTTTACTGATTAAACAAAAAATGTTTACTAATCAGAACTTGAGTTATTACTGTTTAAGCAAAACAAAAAAAAAGCAAAGTTAATTGATATCTGAGCAACTTTTTTTTAATTTCCATCAAGGTTACTTTCCAAGCAAACAGAAATTGTCTATATCATAATATAATCAGAATCAGTTGATAAATTGGTTCGTTTTCTTTTAATGCGTTTTTCTTGTTTATTTATTTAACTTTCTAGTTTATTCTTACATTTGATAAAGTTTTGATTTTCATCATTGTAGTAACCTGTGAAAAAGGAAGCCACAAATAAGCCTCGTCCTATTTCAAAAGGAATTTGTTAAAAAAATTCAGTTTTCATTCATTCAGTTTGTCGCTTAAAGCTGCACGAGGCGATTTTCTGGGCGATTCAACATTGCTCAATTGGTGATTCAAATATCGCTTGCCTTAAAGTGGACAGCAAGTCAACTTTTGCAAGCGATTATCGCCTGCAGCTTTAAGAATAAATAGAAGAAGTAATTCTTTAGTAGATAACCAAGATTTAAGTGAAACCTATGATGAACTTTCTGAGGAGGTGGAAGTCGAAGGCGCCGAAGATCAGTCGATCATTGATTTTATGGAAGTCATTGGGACTTGTTTTGGAAAATAAAAAAAATATTGCTAAATTTGATGAAATTTTGCAAATATTAGGTATTAAATCAATTAAATTAGCTACAGCTTTTTGAACGCAATCGTCCAAACATAAGAAATTAAATGAAATTCGGTCAGTTTTTGAAAATGAATTGCAAAGGCAACTATAAGAGCTGCTGGAGACAATCCCTTTCGAGCCAAATAAGTAAATAGGGAATGCCAGATCTTGTTACGATTATCCTTGTTTAGTTGACGGATTCACCAAAATCCTCTGGGTTCGTATCGCTGGATTGTTAGATAAGCGCTCAAGATCACAAAATTGCAATACAATCAAGTTTATTGTACAACAAACACTTTACAATACTTTTTTATTTTTGACTAGCCAATGCCCGCTTACTTCGCGGCGCCTAATAAGAGCTTTTGCGTTGGCCAGTACAAAAGTGAATTTAAAAACAAAATTAGTCTGTAAAGTCAAAAGTTTTGATTTAAGTTGAAACCATTAAGGCGCAGTATCCCCCTCACACATAGGTCAAAAATAGTAACGCTGTGACACCATATGGAATACCAATCCCTTTCGGAGTCATGAGCTTTACCTATGGTCTTATTATACTACTATAGCGAAACTCGTAAAAAAAAAGCTCCATTCTTTGTTAAAAATTAAAAAAAAAATTCTTCAAAATTTTCACATAAATTTTACCTTACTGAAAATTAAAGACGAAGTTACAATAATTCAATGGGATTTGGAAATCTGGGAGAAAATGGTTCCCAATCGAATGATACTTGCGCGTTTACGTAAATGTATATCGATCCAGCCTTTCCAATAATTACCACTTTTCGCCATAACTATGGTATTAATAACATATGTAGCTGTGTAGAATTTCAGGACGTTAGCGTAAGCAGTTCCAGAGATAAGCTATATGAGAAGTTCAGTTTGCAGGGAAGGAAAGAGCCACGCCCCTTTCCTAATGCATTTGCAATATATGCATCAGTGCTAAGCTTCAGTTCCCCAGCGTAATTGGTTTTAGAGATATATTTGTTTTTTTTTACGTAATAAAGTAAGCTTCCTAATCCTCTTTAGTTTAATGTTCGTATTGCAATATTTCATTTATTTTACAAATTTTAATGAATACAATTTTTCAATCAGTTGGCAAATCCCCTAAAAATATTATCAGCATTAAAATTTCCTAGCCTCTTTAGTTTGATGCCAATAATGCAATATTTAATTTATGCTATCAATTAAATTAAATTAAAGTTTCCAAATTGGTGGAAACCTTTCACAAAAAATATTTTTAGCTGTAAGCCTCTGTAAATTTCTTTCTTTTAACAGCCATATTGCAGTATTCACTTTACCGTATCAATTGA